CATATGTATACAAGCAGGCTTAAAAGGTTCAAAAAGATTTTTATCTATGTATTACATACCCTTCTTCACACAAAGAGGGTTCTGCTCTCTGACATTATATTCTTTTGAGAAAATTTTTGAATATAATGCCTTAATATTTGATGATAACCTTCAGATATAGATATTTGAAGTCCTGAATAAAACATATCAAATCACCTGAGGTAGATGACGGCGGGTTTTCTTTTAAAACCATTCTTTACTATAGTATATAATATATTCAGCTTTGTTACAAAAATGTCAAGAAGGCTTTTCGTGTTCTCATTACTTATATAGTTATATTTATAATAATTTTATAATAATTATTTAGTCAATCTCATTAAAACAATGTAAAGTGTATTTGTCTCTCAAATATATTTTTATGAGAACAAATTAATGTTTCATTCATTTTGAATCATTACATATTTTTTATTTCGATATATTCCATATAAGCAAATTTTTTTTTTCATTACAAACATCTTGACTACCCTAACGAATGTATGTGAATTCTAAAATGTAGAGAAACAAACGACCGGCTTTGATTCAACTTGATATAAATATGTTCGGAGCGAGCGTAGAAGTTACGACTTTTAGGCGGATTTCCTAACACATCACGAGTTGTATAATTCTAGGGAGTGGTCACAGTGATAGCGGTCACATTTATTATAATATCCTGAACAACGCTATACTAATGTTAAATGGCTCTTGTTGTTCAGTTATAAAGAGTTCTTTCATTTGTATATTAAAACTTCTAATGTCATATAGTTAAAGTAATACTGTGTTTTAATAATAAAATAAAAATAAAACTATATAAATAGGTAAAGAAAAAATTGTAAGAAGTTAAATGTATTGGTCACTGGAAGGGATTTATCCTCTTTTTTTGTATTTATATTTCTTCGATATAAATTCGTGTCAGTGCAATAAAAGTGCTGAAAAAACAGGTCAGTAACCTTAGCATAATTCTGCATCATCATACAACAAAGAAGCTTTTCCCATTTCTCAATCAATAACATAATTTTTTTATATCTTTCCTTACTTAAGAGCCTTTAAGGCGATAACCACACTGTAAGACCTAGGGCGATAGAGGTCATCAACATCATCAGACTGAAGAATGCGTTGTTAATAAGCCTTATGGGTTAATATTTATCAGTGAATGAAACTCACAATTTATATCTGAAAACACTTCATCACGTCAATTCCAATATATGGCGGTAAAGTTCTGTAAGCCCTGTAATTGTGTTTGCTAATGAGTTCAAGCCATCGTTAATTTTAAGCGTATCATAAACGATAAAAGCATATATACAGATATATACTAGAATATATATATTATAAACAAATAAAAATTGAATTTTGATAATATTGCACCCATCAGAACTTTATTACAGTCCGTTTAAGTTCTAAATTGTATCTAAAACTGAAATCGAAATTAACGTGTTAAAAATCTATACATAATAAACTCATTTTTTAATTGAAATAATAACTTATAACTGAACTCAGAATCGTAGATAACAAAATTTCACGAGCTATCAATAATAATTTCAAGTTTGATAAACGACTCTTGTTGTCAGAAGATCAGTTTGAAGTTGGTTCCAATAAATACATATAAATATTTTTTGCATATTTTCAACGAATAAATACAATTAAAAAAAAATAAACAATTGTACAACTTAATCACTTAATTTCAAATAGCATAAAAATATTAACTTTGACATCCCATACACGTAAAATCTTCATTCAATTATTATTTAAATAAATTTATATTTACTAAGAAATTTTAATCACAAGGTGTTAAAGCTATCTTCGAAATCAATCGCCTGTCTGTTTAATATTCAATATAAATAATTTATGTATGATTAATAATTCATAAACAAGAATTTCTTGGGATGAATATAAAAAGGAAAACATGTTTACCTTCAATAAGACCTGTAAAATAAATCGATGCCTTTTCTTCCTATATATATGTATACACATGTATGTATTAAATAACCAAATAAAAATATTTTCTTTATAATCATTTTGACCATAAAAGTTTTCCAAAATAGTGATTGTTTTTTCATCGGGAACTTTATTGAATTTTATTATACTAAAAATTTATTAAATCAATTACATATGTATATGTTTGAAATCTCTTGAATTGTTTATATACAACATATTCTACATACCTTTTCCATACTTTTTAGTATAACATTTATGTTTATTCCAATTACAATAAAAAAGGTTGTAACAATATTTGGCCGCACCTGAAACATACCTTATTTTTATATCGCCATTATATCATCATAGTCCTATGTACAAATAAACGAACATAAAGCCTTATAATAATACAATCAAATTATCTTATTAGTTTAATTGGATCATTTTGCTCTCTCGTACTGTTTCAAGGGTTTTTCCAACCTACATAAAATCTAGCTTATACATATATATTCATAAACTCGTTTTGAAATTGTGTCTATTATTATAAATATTTTGTGGAAAAAAGGCAAGGTATTTCATATTTGCACATTAATAATTCTTAGAATTTTTTAAAGTAAATGAGCTTTTGTTTTATTTTTCCAATTCATTAATTTATGTATAGAATACTATTAAATCGGAAAATCTAAAATTCTTAAAAATATTTGGGAAAAGCGATAAAAAGTATAAAAAAAATTATTTCATTTCACTAGTTAATGCTTTTATATTTTGCTACTTATAATGCATATAAATTATATTCCTAAAAGCACTTTATAACATTTCGTAATTCGAAACATGTAGAGAGATTTGATACAAATACGCTATTAAAATAATAAATATACTGTTTCATATTCAATTAAATACGCAGAAACTAAGTTGAATAAAGATTAGTTGGAAATCACAGTGCTACATTTTAAGGCAGCAGGATAAGTAAAGGTGCTGTGTTCTTATATACCGATAATTTTAAAGATTGTAATCTCAATACGTTTTATTCAGAACATACAATTTTAAACTAACTTCAATCAAACATGCGATCTCAATTTCAGTGTTACATATGTAGATGTATTCTCGAAAAAGATATTGAATAAGCCTATTTAATTGTCTTCTTGATCGAATTCAGTAAATTCATATTAATTAGACAAATATTTTTATATATAATTCATTTTAATATCACCCTCGTAATATTATTAATAGAACTATGACAAAAATAAATTATTAATACAATAAAATAAGATGACAAGAATTATGTATGAGAAAATCCGATCGTGAACTTTAAAATATATATAGAAAAACACAATTTTTCATGAAAAATCGTTTTTAACACTATCGAAGGCCAAACGAACTAGAACGGTCAGGATCGATAGCATTACTGATGCATAAGTGGTCGGTTCATTTCGATCAAAGCTGAACTAGATGTATACATAATTATGAAATACTTTTGAAATAATAAACATAACAAAAATACATCTGTTAAATATTATGTTAAAAAAGTAAAAAATATTCATTCGGATGTTTTTAGTAAGAGAAATTTCTATGACAAATAGGATTTTTTTCCCCTCTAAATCTAACGAAATCGTCACATTTAATTCATTTATATTTTTACGTTAATATTTTTACATTAATATAAACTTATAGCTGGGGTGTTTGTGTTTTTTTAATAAGAATGAATTTAAAAAAAATATCGAAAACCTTAGGATAATTTAAACATGGCTTTTTATATAAATTATCGAATGAAGAAGTTGTAATTATTTTATAACCATAATTTTTTTGTAATCACCAAGTAACTGACCCTAGTAAAAGAATGATTTACTGCTCAATTAGTCAACAGATGTAGCATTGAATCAGCTACATTTCTATAACCCGTGACCTAAGGCCAACCCATTCATCTTTTTCTATAAAAGCAAAGATCACAATCCGACTGGTGGAGAGACGATGAGAGAGGAATCCGCTGACATCACAAGGCATAGATCCAAAGTGAATTCCTTTTATAAATTTCGACTTATGTATATAGATTACCCTAGGGTAACTGCTGACATTTTATGAGCGATTTATCAGTCGCAACTCTTATATAACGAAAGATTAGGCAGCGATCACAAAGATTAATGGTAGGTATATCAGGGATTTACGCTTCAAAGCTTTGTCGCTGTGTAAGGAAAAGTAATTTAGTTAGAATAATGAGATTTATTATTAAGATTCCGCCATTAAAACGGGTGAAATATTTTTTATATAATTATCAAACATAGATACAACGTAAATATTATGTTAAGTATATTTTAATGTTCCAAAATTTTAAAGATATGTTACTTTATATAAAAGGCAGTAAGTACAACCAAGAAAGTTAATATAAAACGAAATAGTACGTACAAGTGTATTACAAATTATACTGAGAAACGTGAGCTGTATTTCATATATCAAAAGGAAGCGATATGGGGGGTAATATTCAGCTATCTCGGTAGAGGTTGCTTTAGCAATTCTGCTTTAATCCACAGTGGCATTATAATTGCAAAATGTTTCTTTATTTCGTGGAATAAGTAGCTATGTTCATATATATTATTTATGAGGAGCTATAAGATTTATTTTCATAAGAGTACTTAGATAAATAAGGTGATAATATTTACATATACACGAGATTTCATTTACATTTTTATAACGTATTACGTTTACATATTTCATTTAAATAATATTACAGAACACATTTCAAAATATTTTACAGAATGAGTTTTCCTTTTGGTGACGTATGTAAATAGAATGACGTATGTGCCTATCGACTTATTTTAATATATTGACGTACAAAGATATTATCAGTAAAGGCTTGACACACATTAATTAATAATCCGATTTGTAAACCTTGAAATGTACTTATGTACATATTATGTAGTCTTAAAAACAGATATTCATAGAATCGGTAATGCAATTTATGCAGTATGCGTCATTTATGGTCATACGATACACTTAGTGCAATAAAAATTATGAGACGACACTTAAAATATTGTTTTTGTTTTTTAAAGTTTAATATAAGTATTTTATTGTTCCAGGAAATTTATTCCACTCCATATAATAGAAGAGGATAGTTACGAGAAAGACGTCTTGTTTTACGTCAACCTTGGAAATCCGGAGTCCGTGGGGGGTAAATTATAACACAACACTTTAAACTTACAAAACTAACTGCACATAATATAAGGTAGTGGCTTTTAGCTTAGAAAATGGCATATACTTTGCATGTATTTATGATTTTATACTTATTATGTTTATTTTTTTATTTTTACATAAATAAATAATAGGTTAAAATAATTGGAATTTTATGGCAAGGTGCATAATCCAGCTTTTAAAACCAATTACTCTGACTATTAATGACTCGTCAGCGCTGAAACTAATTCGGAAAGAGCTCTTTTATGCTTGAAAGCGCTTACTCGTTTGGTTTGAAAATAAATACTGTGAGTACCCCTAGTATTAAAGGACTGTTTCACTTTTAATACAAAGTTTCTATGTTTGATATTTTCGTAACTTTTTTAAAATTTTCCACGAAATACTAATATATTAAGAATAGGTGCTGCTTATAAATGTATGAAGTACATTTGACATGAAATATTTATACTGAATCTTAAAAAGCCTGCTGTATACGAAATTTATTTCGTTTATTGCCTCAAAATATTTGCTTGTACCCTCTTTGAGGCGGAAAATTGACAAATTTCATCCAACAAAACGTCTTCATACGTGGAATTCGATCTCTATATATTTGTTTCCGTTGAAGAAATTGGATGTTCGTTTCCAGAATCATTTTGATTTCATAATATATTAGATTTGCATCTGTATTCGAGTTTTTAGACATATTATATTTTTCCGTAAACGTAACTTCATTCTGTAATACTTCGTTCACATTTTTACATTTTTTTATTGATTACATTATAAATAGCAATGTGATAAGTCTTAATAAGGATGACCGATAAATTACTGCGATTACACAGATTGACATAGCCCACTTTAAACATTAAAAGTTAAAAATTAGAATGAGAAATAAAATCGAAAATGTTATCGAATTGCTAATGATAATTTAATAACCATAACGCAATATGACTTAATATGTAGTGGGTGACTGGTGATAAAATATAAGAGATTAAATAAAAGAAAAAAGTCAGAATGTCATATTCTTTACCGCCAAAGGAGAATGACATCTAAATTATTCAAAGGAGGTTCTCATAATAAATCCTCCTTGCTACAACACATACAGTTTACAAAAGTTTCGTAATCATTTTTACATTTTCGAGCTATAGCTTAAAAGTGTCAGGAACAATATTTCAGATTTAAATGCAATCTCCAACCCAACAAATAAGATTTCTAGAGAATAGCTCTCGAGTAAGTGTGCTATTATCACGTTAAAACGTCCTTTCTTAACAAATATCATTACAGAAGATGAAACAGACTCGACTTTACAAAACTTTTGCGTGACACATTAAGTACAGATACTCTATTTTTCTCTGTAAAGACGTCATTATGATTCTTTACTTCAATGACATTTAAGCAACATTTCAACACCATCAAAAATTTACCGTCCATTACTTCAGGCCGAGTTATTTATGTTTTACGACAACATCAGACCCGGATAGGGCAATTTGATAGTAGACGAAACGACGCTCTTCTTATTACTGCCTCTGATATCACGGTTTTTATAAATTGATATCATTATTGTCATCACCTTATTTATAAATTTTGACATTATATAACAGTCAATTTGTATAAAAATAATTTATTATATATCACATTCATAGTCCTCTTTAACAACTTCTCCCACTACTTACTACGGTAAAATTGGACGTAATGCCAAAAAACTTACTTATTTCCCCAATTCAATTTGGATAGCGTTTCATACGATACATATACCTTTATGGGTCTCTTGTAATTTCTTAACGAGTAATAAAACTTACCTCGCACACGCCCTACGTTGAAACATTGAGGTTTATCGGTTGCTGACAATCGTATTTTTTCATAAAATGTTATTTTGTACATAAAATTTACGACACGTACAGGTAGAATTAGACATTAATAATATTGTTGCTATGGCTATATTGTGTTCCGATTAAATCATTAGTGACATTCGTTTATTATTCTACAAATTTACTGACTGCTGAACCTTTAATAAGAATATTTTTCTTTAATTCTTCTTTACAAGACTTTTCGTTAAAACTTATAACTCTTCGATTCTTTAAAATAGTTTTCCAGTTTATTTGTGTTTTATCTGTCAACAGCTTGTTTTATTTTACCAATTCATAGTAATCATTTTAAGTTCAAGTTATATTATATAGTAGATTTGAAATCTTCCTTATTAGGTCAAGAAACTATTCTACAACTTATAAGATTATATTTTTTTATATTGTAAGTATATTTTGTGTCGTTCTTGTAGTATTATAAATATTGTACATAATAATTATCCCTAAATATTATAGTTATTTTATGTATAAAATGTATATTACACACGTAATACAAATTCTATTTAAACATTTTTTATATTATTAAATATATTTTTGTTTCCACTGATCTTTGAGATATATGCAGCTCAATCTTTCTTTATGTCTACTAATATTTAAAGAGTTGCGTCAAAATCTAGAAGATCAGTTGGAATTGAATGCTTACTCCACTATATTTATATGCATGTATACTATTGTCTAATATATTCTCTCTCCACTTGCACGCTTGACGGATCGTCTGTCTGTCTTTGTCAAGTAAGAATGTTATATATTTAGTAAACCGCTTGTTATTTTTGTATTTAAGTAAAAATGTATTATTTATTATACGAGTGTTTGTTGAATGCATTTTATTTGGTCTTTACCTGCTTTTGTGTATATAATTTTATATCAAGGGACGTGACAGTAAGTATGTGACTTCATTTATTTTAAGTGACCAATGAATTATTAAATTTCTTTGCTAGATTTAGCATATTGTTTTCTGCATTACGTGCTGGTAGGTTTGATTAATCAATTAAAAGTACCAAAAAGCCAGATTTTTTAATAGAATTAATTTTTGGCGAATAGGTAAGTTTGGTTGTTTTTTTTTTATGGGCTTTCCTTAAATCAGTTCAAGCCTCAATCTTTTTTATATTGAATAGGAATAATGAAAAATGCAAAGCTTTGCAAATATTTTTTTGATATAAATATCGTAGTAAATGTCTTATTATATGACATAGTTATTCAGTATATAATTTTTTTTATGTATTGAAATTGATTTTGAAGACTTTTTTTTGTGTTCTCCACTTATACCACTTATTATCTTGTTGGTTGTGAAATTAATTTTTTGGTTATAAAGACGGAAGTACTAAAAAAACGAAAAAATAAATAATTAACAGATGGAAAAATTGTAGGTATAAATATAAAATATTAATAAATGAAATGTTGTTTATGATTTCATGACCTTTTAAAAAATATTCAATAATACCTATACATTTCATTAAAGTTAATTTAAAATATTTACAAATATATTATACATTTTATTTTTTGTATATGGTTATATAATAAAAAAGAAAAAAGTCATTTATTTTTACTATAAGAGTTATTAGTATAATAGTTCTGAGACAATTTCCTTCGTGACCTAGTTGTTTATCATTTCTCCAAGTTGGTCTAATATCATTGTGATAGTGCTTTAATGAGGGTGTGAACATGATTTACGGCTTCCGTTATAATGAAGGCCTGTCCGTGACGCATTAAGTAATATACATAACGTAGTTCAATCTTATTAGTGACCCAGTTAAGTAATAGTAGTTTACCTAAATAACTACTAGTTAAAACTTAATTTTTAGTGAAGAGAGCAGAGTTTGATAGCCTATCAAATGTTCTGGTAAAACTTTAATTCTCAAGCAATAGGAGCTACAATCGCCTGATGGGATCTGCCGAAAATCTCATTTTAGTTTCGTCCGTTTTCGTGCCCAAAATACAAAACTACTTTATGTCTGGCACACGTTTATGTAATAGGGACTGTTGGACCATCATTGTCTAAAATTTTGCGGATCTAATTTAATTGTGCTAATGTTTCGAGTTCTTTTTTCATTTGGATTTATAAAAGTAGAGGATTTATATTTTGTAATGAAATTAAATAGTAAATTTCAATCATTATAAATGGTAAACACTAACTACAGTTTGTGTTAGGATGGCTTTTCCTGAATAAAAGAACCTTCTTTTAAATTCCATTTTCTATTCTATTCCAGTTGCTATCCTTTATTGAACGTGAGTTTCGAAAGCGAATAATGATAATCCAAAATCGCAATAACATATACACTGAAAATGTAACCGAAGTTCCAGATGTTAACTCATTATCATAGGAACCTAGTATAAGGAAAACTTTCTGCTCTTTTATTTTAGTTAAACGAAAAAATAAGAAGCAGTAATGTCAATAATTACTCGCAATCGAGTTACCCAAATGTTATATCTTTATAAGTTTCATATATTTTATAAAATTACTAAAATGTTTAGATAACAATCGACCGATTATACCTGGTAATGAAGCTGTTCACCTGACAACCCTGCCGGAGGACGAGGCTGTGGTAGCCATGATGGGCTACCCCCGAGCTGGTGAGATCACACGCGCACAGCTCAGGATAAAAGAAAGCAAAGAATTTAAGGTATCCTTTAAATAATACTACGTAATTTACTGAAGAGAAAATATACATTGTTAGATTCAGTTTATGAAACAACTGTCAACTAAATATCATTTCAATTGATTTAAATCAATTATGTTTTTATATCATATAGTATATAATATAACTATAGCGTAATGGTAACAGAATAATATTGTATCATAATAATTTGCAGAACACAGTAGATAAGTTAGTGCAAAGAGCGAATGCATCGATCATAATTGGAACGTCTTCGTGGAAGGAACAATTCTCGGAAGCCTTGACAGCTAGCTCAGGTATGTTTAACGAAGATAAATGTCGAGTACAATCATTCAAGCATTGTTATTTTACAGATAATGATTAAACTGAATAATGTAATGACAAAATGTTTTATAAATATTACCAGCAAATCTGCATTTAAAAAGCCAGCTTTGCAGAAAATAATCTATGAGCTAAACAGCTATGATTACTTATAATTATTATTAAAATATATAAAAATTTAACTCTCTAAAATATTACAACTCTATGTATATTATCTTACACTCTGACTTTTCCTTTGGGATGGATACAAATTAATCTGTACTTGTATATGCAGTAGAATATTTCAGCTATTTGGTTTGACCGAAACAATTATGGACCGTAAAGCGTTAGAGTGGTATTTTAGTTTTACGAGTATGTGTGGCTGTTCATGCCACATTGTAATTTGTATTGAACTGTAAATGTCCTTTTAAAATTACACAAGAACTTTTGAATTATCAAAAAATGTATGTATTTAAAATGCACCTTCTTTTTACTGTCACATATGTCACAGATTATAAATAAAATTAACCTTTTTATAATCTGCAGCTTTATATAATCTCCAAAAAGCCAGATGGAGTACGGTTTTTTTTTTTTGATAAACATTTGTATTTTTTTAATTAGCATTACCCTGCTTAGGATTTATACAAACAACGTATTTTTACCTACTAATTCCGTATGCATATACAATATTAAGTGTTTTTTTTTTTTTGTTATTTAATAAGACAAATATATGAAATCCATTTGTTTAAAAAAAAATAAGTTAATTTGCTGTGCTTTTATTGAATTTATTTCTTCATTCAAAAATATTTACATGTGTCTTCAGTAAGTAAAAAACTACTTAATTAATAAAATGAGAGTTTAATGAGAATAATATATTTTAAGATAATCCCGACGAACCTCCCTCAACATTTGACTACATACTACACGTGTTTACGCTCTTCTGGAAGATTATATTCGCATTCGTACCGCCCACAGGTAATAAACTCCATAATAAATCTCTCTTTTGATTTAATAAATGAGTAATATTACTCGTACTGTAAAAATTTCTGACTGATTTTTACATTTTTAAGTTTTAAATATATATCTATTGCATTATATTATGAAAAACAGGGTCTAGATATGACAAAACTTCACAATTTTATGTCTAACGCTGTACTTAATGTTGCTAACATGTTTTTTAATAATTCAGACATCGGCGGAGGTTACGTCTGCTTCGTAGTGTCAATTATATGTATCGGAGTGGTCACAGCAGTGATCGGTGATGTTGCTTCACACTTTGGCTGTACTCTTGGCATCAAGGATTCGGTCACAGCCATCCTATTCGTAGCTCTAGGAACAAGTATTCCAGGTATGGTTGATTCACACTAATTAGTGTTCCATTATCAGCAGAATATGCAGAAGTTTATAGGCCAAAGTAACAAATCAACACAACGTACAGAAGATAATCTTATCTTTGGCTTCTGTTTTATTATGGAATCTGAATTTTGGAGAGATTTTAACGCAATTTCTTTCAGATACCTTTGCGAGTAAAGTAGCCGCCATTCAAGATAAAACCGCGGACGCGTCTGTTGGTAATGTCACTGGTTCGAACGCAGTTAACGTTTTCTTGGGAATTGGAGTTGCATGGACCGTAGCTGCTGTGGTCCATTGGAGTAAAAATGAAAAATTCATTGTAGATCCCGGGAAGTCAGTATAAAATTAAATAGTCTTCTGAGAAGATATATGTTTATTGAATAAAGGATTTAAATATTATTTTCTTTCTGCAGTCTAGCCTTCAGTGTCACCATGTTCTGCTCGGAAGCAGCGCTTGCTGTTCTGGTATTGGTTTTGCGGAGAAGAAAATCAATTGGCGGGGAATTGGGTGGTCCAAAAATTACCAAAGTTATAACATCTATGTTCTTTTTCTCCTTGTGGTTCACGTATCTTACAATGTCAACCCTTGAAGCTTATGGCTATATCAAAGGATTCTAGATCTTTTTGTCATCGCAGTTTACATTCAGATCAAATGATTACTACATTTATAGATATACTTATAAGCATTTCATCTTCAATATTTATAAGTATGTGTAATTATAAACTAAATAATTTGAGAAAACATACAAAATTTTATCTAAGCGTAGGCTCGCTATCAATCTTATATAATAAGCTAAAATTGTTTAGACACTCGCAAAATTCTTAATGCACTATTTAAAAAAAAATATATGAAATTTTCGTCATTTGATCTGAATTAAAATAATAACGCCTACTATAATATTATCCTCGACCTGTATGTTAGCATAGAATTTAATATTTCCTAGATTCTAGAAGTTTCTAGCAGTTGAAGTGATGTGCTCAAATGTACAGGTTTAAAAATCCGTTGTATTTCCTCCTTTATCTAAATGTTTCTTCTTGTTCAGATAAATGAAGCCTTGACGGCTGTGGTCTAATTATCATATATAATATGTGTTATGTGTGTGTAATAAATAATATAGCATATATAGCGGTAGTTCGGTTTAGAGGAATTTATTATATATGTCGCTGTCTATTTAATGGTCTTAATTGACTTAGAGAGTAAATTTTAAATATCCATATATTATATATAAAACACAGGAATACCGTTTTAAATTTAATCATAGTACGATTTTGAGTCTTCAAACTGGAAATATATTAAAAAATAGATAGAAAATCATCACTCAATCTTAAAATAACATCGTTATAAGTGATGATGACAAACTTGTCGATAGATTTAGTCAACGTAGTGTGAAATTATGTTTATAATGACTTAGTTTGTATATAAATGTATTAAATTAATGATTTATTTATTAAATTTAAGTGTAACAACAAAAGAGATTTTTATAACATTAAAAAAATTATTGGTGGTGTTCATTTATATATAAATATTTATTATACATTATTATTCTAATAAAAATTTTACTCTTGTAATATAAAATGCCTGGTAGAAAACTAACATTGTTCTATCTTCTCTTTATATCTCAACTGCCTTTGTAATAGCTAGTGATTAATATCTGCATATATAACGAAAGAAAATGACGCTTTAAATATAGGAAAGTAGAAAGAAATATTTGACACTGGCACTAAAATATCAGTGTTAGGTCAGCGCATGGATTAGTGAAAGATTAGAAGTCTAGTTAAAATATATCCTATGAAATGTTTATTTATTTTTTATTTTATATTAATATAGTTATAACAATATCTATGTATATGTTAATTGAATATATTATTTATTATGATATATAAATTCAAACTGTCTTGTTAAGAGTATCAAAAATAAACACTCAGACTTTAATAACTCTTGATGTTATTTTAACAAAACATTTGCTGTTTTGCTATTTGTTAAATCCAAAATATTTTTTCTACTCTTCCCTTTATATAATTTAGTTATTTACTTAAAATTCTGTACAAAATGAATAAAATTCCTACAATTTAAAATAACAATATTCTTCCTTACAATGAAACTTTACGCAGTGCTGAAAAATTTACCTTTATTTTGCAAGTAATGATAAAAGTAATATCAAAAATATTGGAAACTTTTTATAGAAAATATAAAAAACTTTGATATGTTGTATCACAAATTTATATCAAACATTTTATTTGTCTGGACCAAAATTATTTTCGAATTTATTTACATTAGTATTTTCTATCTCTTTCTATCTCTATCTATTTAATATTTCGGAAATTTTTAAAGATATTTATTAAATAATAGATATCTGAATATAATTATTATGAAAAAAAATCTTTATTATTGAAAAATGTATCAACAAAAATATCGGTTTCCAAATTATTTTCGACAATATTTTCGATAAATTTTTGTCATATTTCTTCTTTGGTTTGCATGTCATTCTATTGATTGTTTTAGTGATAACGAAAGTCAATGAAAACAGAAGAATTTTTGGTATATTTATTATAACACAGTGAATTTAGTTCAAATTCTTCTTGTTTAGACGCTCAGAAATTCATTATGGGTATCATTTCATTATTCATTGCCGTCCGCATACTTACTTAGAATATAATTATAGATACATCGAATTAAATATAAATAATATTAGTTTGATTTAAAATTTATTTACAACATAGTACAATATAAAAATTATATAATCTAAATAATACAAATCCATGATTTTTTAATAAAAAACTCGCTCTTTATATATGTATATTCTGAGAGCAAAGAAAAGATATATCAGATGTTATATTAAAATATACTTAGAAAAGCTATTATTATACACAAAATAATAATTTACAAACTTCCAACAAACATAAATTCAATTTTAGTTTGCTAAGCAATCAAAAATTTTAAAAGCCTCCCGTATGTGGAACGTAGAGTGCTTTGGACTTTCAAAAAGTTGGAAATAAATTAACAAAGCCTGTTACGAATTGAGATCACTTAGAAATGGCCACAAATCGTTTTTTCGCTAGCCAAATAAAAATATCAAAAGACTTTATGTATTTCCATTTTATACAGAATTTATGTTCAAAACGGCTTTTTAACCACAATTCGCATTTCATAAAACATTATACAGATATCAACACACAATTAAACAATTAATTTTAATCAATTATAAATTTATTCTTATTTATTATAAAAGAAAATATTTATTATTTTAAGTCATATATAAAATAAATTCCAAATATATAAAAATAAGTTATATAAGATATTAATAATAAAACTATACTCTTTCCTCTTAGTAGAAATCTTCTAGAAGTTATATTAACATAGTGTCCTGAGTTTGTGCTTAATGTTGATGTACTCGTATGTTTGTTGATAAACGGCACGCCAATAAAACCTAGTTATTTTGATAATTATTCTTGTTAAAAATTAAAGTGTTTGTTAAGTACTTAAACGGAGTTTCAATTAACACCTGATAAAATATATAAATAAGGTATATGGTCGTCTAATAAGATGAAAAAGTAAACGTTTACTTACCTGGTGAAATATTCTGTCACTATGTTTGATGTTTTTTAGGTGGTCTATTGACGGGTAGACGAGATGTAATTCATATGTCCGTGATCATGGTTGCTGAAAAGTAACCGAAACGTCGGAAGTACATAGAAAGTTTTAAAATAATAAAATAAGCTAAGCAATCCGAATAATATTAGTTTCATTTAAAGTTAAATGGTCATTGACTATAGTGGGTTACATATAAATATATTTTATTTATATCAATACTCTATTTATAAGACCAAAATAGTATAATATTATGTTAAAGTTTATTGAAACAGAGAATAAGCAATTTTGTTTTGCTGGTCAGGTTGGTAATAAAATATATAGAAATATATGTACATATAATTCATTTTTTGTACTTAAAACAAAACAGAAAAAATAAGTATTTCGTTCAAAGTTTTTAAATCTTCCATAAAGTTGAAAGATTATTGTTAGCAAAGTTTTTAAAGTATTTGAGATTACTTAAAGTCAGCATTTGGAAACATGTTCATTTATAAGCTTTATTTCAATTATAGTATGCTTCAATGTCGATCATGATTCTTTTTAATAGAAGGAAAAGTTAAAAATTTTCACTTTCTAAGAACTGTAAATCTCTGTATAATAGCTTAGAGCCAACGGTTCATACTAATTTCTACGTACTAGTCAAAAAGCTGATGTCGGAAGCAAATGTCTCTTCATACCTGGAACTTTTCGAAATTACACCTAAGCTTCGCCTTTTACGTTTCTAAGCATAATCTCTCTCAAGATTTAAAACTTAAAAGTAATAAAACATTCTGATTACTTGTTTTACAACGTATTCACTGCATAATCACAGATATCTAATAGGAAAACAGAATAAATATAGATTTTTTTAAATATTAAAATTATACCCTTTCTACTACACCATATACTTATATCCATATTAATAAAATTACTGTGATATTTATAAATATCTACGTAGGAACAAATCATCGAATTGAATTATTTAGAATCGGTTTGACATTAACAGTAAAAAAAAATCTGTTTTCTTAATAACTATATATTCCAAAAAATCAATGACGTTCAACAATAAAACTTTTCTTAAAAACGTCGCTGTAAAAGAAGATAGCAATAAAAGCATTCCTTGGTCACAAACCACTGAAGCATTCAAGATCTCCCACAAAAAAATAGATTGAAAAGACGGTAAATATTAGAAGCCTGTTCATAATAACATAAAAATATAATTTTAATGAAAAGTAAAACAAAATTTAAAAAGACGGGAAACCTCTTTTCAATATTTGGCCATATAACTTTATTTTCCTAACATTGATTATTCAAATGAAACAATTGTTACAATGAAATGATTGGAACAAACATTTTTATGTTTTAAATTCAATTGTTTATTTTTATTTTAATCGGTTACATAGTTATAGCGTAATTGTTTTACAAACATATATGTACTTCATTATATCTTCAAATCTTCAATTGCATACACATGTATCAAAGCCAGGAATCGACTGAACTAAATAGATAAAAAAAAGTTCAACAATATAATTTACTATGCTAACATTTGTATCACATGTTTTTTTTATTATTTCGTTGAGATATTGTCTATACACAGTTCAATAAGGCTGCCACATTTGATGGATGGTTCGCGGAGCCGCAGTGAAATATTGTTGACTCTTAATGATAGTTTCGACTGTATGATATGAAATTTTAGATCAATAAATGTTTGGGAAGATTACATTTTTATTTATAGACCGGAGAATGAAACATAACTGCAACTGTACGGTTATCAGAACAAGACCTCTACTTTAAATAAAAAGTCCTTATTTATTAAGAAATATAAAAAATTGTTACTAATTATAAAGTTTGAAATTTAAAGGAAAAACTGCATATTAAAAACAAACAACAAATCTTTCTTTATATATCGAAGTAAGTGAACGAAGTCGAAATTCTCATGGTAAATAAATTATGTTAAATTTCATTTCATTTCATTATATTCCGTTAATCCTATAATATGAACATGTTTACGTGATATTTTACAATATAATAGGTTCTTCTTTTTGTCTAA